GCTCCAGCCTTCAGGCTCCGGCCTTCAGGCTCCGGGCTCCAGCCTTCAGGCTCCAGCCTTCGGTCTCCAGCCTTCAGGCTCCAGGGTCCGGGCTCCAGCCTTCAGGCTCCGGCATTCAGGCTCCGGCCTCCAGGCTCCGGGCTCCGGACTCCCAGCTCCAGCCTTCAGGCTCCGGCCTTCAGGCTCCGGGCTCCAGCCTTCAGGCTCCAGGCTCCGGGCTCCAGCCTTCAGGCTCCAGGGTCCGGGCTCCAGCCTTCAGGCTCCGGCCTTCAGGCTCCGGGCTCCTGACTCCCAGCTCCAGCCTTCAGGCTCCGGGCTCCGGCCTTCAGGCTCCGGGCTCAGGGCTCCAGCCTTCGGGCTCCGGACTGCGATGGCTTAACTAGTAACTCTTTTAAACATTTTGGGTTCACATCAGAACCCTTGTGTTTAGAAAATGTCTAACACACACTATGAAACAAGGTGTCATTTCGCTCATTCCTAAACCTGGAAAAGATCCGACTCTTCCTGATGATTTAAGACCAATAACTCTATTAAATAATGATTACAAACTCCTGACACACATTTTTGCTAACAGGTTAAAATCAGGCATATCAGAAATGATCTGACACTCAGTCTGGGTTTATAAAAGGGGCTCTATGCATAATAACATTCGGCTTATTTTGGACTTAACTGATTATAACCAGTTGGTTGAAAATGAAGGCTTTGTATTATTTTGAGACTTTTATAAAGCCTTTGATATGATAGAACATGAATTTATGTTCAAAGCTTTAGGTTTATTTGGATTTGGACATAAATTTATTAATGTAATTAAAACATTTTACAAAGAGAAACAGTTCAGTGTGTTTTCCACAGATTTAAAGTATAAAACCAGGTTGTCCAATCTGCCCTTTGCTGTTTATTACTGCTGCAGAAATAATTTCCATATCATTTAACGCTCAGTTTGGTAAATTATCAGTGTTAGGCAACGAGTTTCTATTGGTCAGCTGGCTGATGACACAACCATCTTCTTAAATAACCTGAATGAAATTCATAAAATTCTCAGTTTGAAATGTTTTCAAAGGCCTCAGGGCTTAAATTCAATTTAAACAAATGTGAAATCTTGCCTCTAGAAGACTGTCCTTCATCTACTGCTTTTAATATTCCTGTAAAATCCAACATCAAATATCTGGGTGCATATTAATAAACATAAATCTGAATATTTGGGAGAAACTTCAAAAATGTAAAACTCATTTAAATAAATGGACACAGAGAGATTTATCTATCCTGCATATACATGAGGAATATCAGCAATCAAATCTATCAACAGGATGAATTTTGACTTTATATGGAAACAGAAAACTATCAGAAAAGGTCATTTAATCAAACAGTCTGAAGATGGACGACTGCAGGCCATAGATTTTAACAGCACATTAAAAATAAACTGGCTTCAGTCTTTGTAACAAATCAAAATGAATTATGGTTCCATATTCCAGGTGAGATATTCTCTAATCTGGGCGGAGTTAGTTTCCTTATGTGACTTTGACGTTAAAAAACTGCCTGTGAAACTTTCCTTCTCTCAGCAGCAAGTTTCATTATATTGGAGATGAATCTATAACTGCAGCCCACACAACACTGCCTAAGGAACTGATGTTACAGAAAAATTAATAATCAATCTGCACATAACTGGCCAGAACAAGGCGTTTGGTCTGTGATATTAAATAATGGAGGTTTTATGTCTTTTGAAGACGTCAACCTGCAAATAAATAAAAATGAATTTCAAAGAGTTATTAGAGATATTCCCCCAAATATTTGATGTACAGCTAAATGTTTTTCTGAGATCCCAGATTACAGAACCCGGATCTGCCTGGACTATTGGGACCAGTGTCACAGGTCATAAACTAAAGAACTCAAAAATTAGGGAATGCTTTACTAGTACTTGGTTTCCTTTTGTATCAAATCCAAATTTTATATCACATTTCTCTTCAAAGGCTCAAAGGGAAAAAATCCAAACAAATGATTTAAATCTTCGCGGTCCTCCAAAGCCAAGGAGTCCACTTCAAAATGTTCTCAGGTGTTTTTCCCTCTAAGGAATCCTTAGACTTCGATCTGCTGTCGATGATAAAACTTGTTCACTTTGTGACATTGAATCGACTGAACATCTTTATATGAATGTGTAAATCTGTGATGATGTGCACCACTGGCTTTTCCCTAAAACTCCAAACTTACCTGAATTTTCTAAGATGTTATTTATGGGACTCTGAGAAAATAAATTCAAAAGGTTATTAAATGTAATCATTATTATGGGCAAGTTTTTCAATAAAAAATGTCGTTTTCTTAAAGCCAAACCATCTTTCCCCACTTTTCACACAAGGGACTCTGCCACCTCTTCTCATCTCTAAAATTCATGGACAAACATCAAGATGCAGAACTGGATCATATGACAAACAATCTGGAACTGCTGGAAACCCTGATGGCTTTTTGTTTGTTTGCTTCGTTTCTTCTGTATGTATGGAAGCAGCCTGGGTCGTTTCCTCAGGCTCTTTAGATTTCTATACATCTGATGCCGATACCATGTTTGTTGTATATGATGATGATCATAATAAAAAAAAGATCTCAGATGTTAGATGACCCAGTAATGGGGTGGGGTCGGGGCCCCCAACCGTTGGGCCCCCAGCCATCGGGCCTGACAGCTGGGGGCCCCCAACCGAAGGCCCCAGCTGTTGGGGCCCACTATTGATGCTCATCTCCAGATTAACGGCCCAACGGCTCTGATTTAAAGTTCCGAATGTCTCCTGGAGCTTCACCTCTCCAACACCTCAGCTGATAGATTTATGGGGGAAAAATGGACATTTGCAAAAATAGAAATTTGAAAAAAGGCAATTCAAAAATGTAATCTTAAAAAAAGTCTATCAAAAAATAAAAATTTAGTCATTTATAATTTACTTTTGGTTTTTGGTGATTAAAAATGACCCTAATGTTAGGATAGAACCATCGGCTAGCTGCAGAAACATGAACTCTGATCAGAACATGGACGTCTGAATGAGACACCTTAGCATGCTAACTTCCCACTTACCGTGAGAGTTAGCACTCTTAGCATGGTAACACTGCCCCTTAGTATGCTAACTATCACTCTGTCTGCCCGTTTCAGGCCTTCAGAGGATCTACAGCCTCACCAGGTCAGGAGGCTACGAGTTGCGTATCGACATGGCTGACTTTGATAACGCCACGGCGTTCGCTCACTACTCAGATTTCTCTGTCGGTCGAGACTCGGTGAACCCGGAGGAGGACGGGTACCCACTGACCGTAGACGGCTACTCTGGAACAGCAGGTACTGGACCACACAGTACAACCCAGTACCACAGCGTACCAAACGGTCCTCTCCTTCTGCCTCCTACAGGAGATTCTCTCCTCAAACACTCGGGCATGCGGTTCACCACCAAGGACCGGGACCAGGACCAATCTGAGAACAACTGTGCGGCGTACTACCAGGGGGCGTGGTGGTACCGGAACTGCCATACCTCCAACCTGAATGGACAGTACCTGAGAGGAGGCCACGCCTCCTACGCTGACGGTGTGGAATGGTCCAGCTGGACCGGCTGGCAGTACTCTCTGCGGTTCACTGAAATGAAGATACGACCCAGAAGACCAGAGTCCTGAACCTGGACCAGAGAACCCTCCCTCTTTAATAAATTGTTCTGATCTATTCCTGAGCTTCTGTGTGCTATCTGATGATCAGCTCTGTGTCATATTGATGAGTGATTGTGGGATTTATTAAACAGCCTTGAATTGAACTGGTCTGACTGAGATAAACATAGAAGAGATGTTCTGACGTGAAAATAATAACCACGAAACATCTCCAGAACTTTAATATGGAGACAAATGGTCAGAAAACTTTAATATTTCATAGTATTTCCCCTCATTTAGGCTCTGATCCATTTGAGTCCTATTAGTTCTGTCAGATTTTCACCTCAGATCCACCTGAGAGCCGTTTCCCTTCAGCAGAGTATAGAGGACCTCAACGCAGAGTAGGTCCAGTTATTTCAGTTTGCTCCATTCAAACAAGGAACATGATAAACATAGTAAACATAACATAATACATCATTATAGATTATATATATATATATATATATATATATATATATATATATATATATAAGATGTCCAATTTATTATCTGATGTAGATATCAGTCAGTCAATCAATCCTATTTATTTAGACACAAATCAATAGGATTGGTTTGTGTCTAAAACAATCATATTTATTGGTCCATAATCCTATGTCATGATCCACAAACATGGACCATTTATGGACCATGTTTTCTTTATGGTCCATAAAAAAAGCAATAAATAGACATGACAAAAACAACAATAAAAATAAAATAATCATCCGCTGCCATATAAACTAAGGTGCCAGTGATGACAAAAACTAGAGAAGAACCTCACTGAGCTTTGAACAGGATTGGTCAAAGTGTGAATGATGCTATTTACAGAGTCTGTTAACTTACACATACATCTGGTCATAATGTTTCAAAGCTCAGCAGCACAATGGCACTAACAAACATCTGACTGGCTCTACTGCATCGGGGCATCTAAGCAGCATCCTCATGCCATCACTGTACATGCATATGTAATTTATGCATACTGCTTTTTCTGTCCACAGGTGGGCTGTGTACATCGGAGTACAGTATGCTTCAAAGAGTCCAGTTCTGACAGATGCTGAGCGCATAGAGAATGTCCCAAGGAGCATATTAGCTTGAACATATTGCATACAACACTGCCTGTAAATGTCTCTATCATCAAACAGGTCAGCGGTGATGTAATGTCCCAAATATTTGACCTCATCAGTAACTTGGAGGATGCTGCCAGACAGGGTGAAGTCAGGGAAAGATAATTTAGTGTCTTCTTTGCTTTTGACAATCATGATGTTGCTCCTTTTGCATTATCCGGAACACACACACACACATATATATATAATTTTTTTTTAATAAACACACAGCCCGGACCGTTTACCGTAGCACTCTACTGGGCGGTCATTCGGTCACGTGACCAAGCCGACAGCGTAAAAAGAACAGGCTGTGATTCGCGGGAAAAAGAAAAAAATGGCGGCTGAGAGAGTTTGAAGTTCAGTGCCGCGAAACAGAGACCGGAGAACCAGACGGAGACTGAGGACAGAGCGGACCCAGAGACTCTCTGAGCCGGTACTGAACCTTTGCCGTCTCACGGCCACCGGACCCCGAGCGGCTCGCTGACGACCGGGAGGAGGACAGACCGTGACCGCTTAAGTGGAGGTGAGACCGGGCCGGGTTCTGCTGGCTGACACAGGTCCGGTTCGGTCCGACCCAGTTTGTCTGTCAGAACAGCTCAGTGTCAGATGTATGAATGTAGAAACTACGATAAGAACTGGGTCCGGAGCTGAACCAGAGAGGAAGACGGCAGCTACTGGCAGTAACGGGTTAGAGTTAGGTTACCGGGGTTACTACCACAGTTATTAATACAGTTATTACCGAAGTTATTAGCGGCTTTACCGGCCGCTAATAAAGCAGTAGGGTGTGCTGCTTTCTGTGGTTAGCAGGTTAATTAACGGTTTATCATCAGAGGATGTACTGCGCATGCTCCGACCTGTCAGAAACCCCCTGAGAGTCCAGGAATGAATCACAGCCGCAGACTGAGCAACTGTCTGTTTCCTCCAACTGTCTGTCGGTCGCTTAGGGAGATGACTGAACCCTTCAGCAGCCTGGAGACTCAGGTGTCTCACCTGTCTGTCTGCAGGATGTTTGAGAACCCGACCGAACCCTTCTGCAGTCTGGAGCCTCAGGTGTGTCCAGGGGGCGGGGCTTGCCACAGCACCGGGGTCCTGGAGGACGATGAGGGGGCGGAGCCTCACCTGACTGAGGGTCAGTTTGTTCTCTGCCGTTGGTCAGATGGTCTCTACTACGTGGGGAAGATCCAGAGGGTGAGTTTATCTGCAAACTGTCAGCGCTCTGCTCTGATTGGCCGGGAGCTCTGAGTGTGATGCTCTGATTGGTGGACAGGTGAGCCCTCAAAGGCAGAGCTGCTTCGTCACATTTGAGGACAACTCCAAGTTCTGGGTTCTCTGGAAGGACATACAACACGGTGAGGGGATCCTAGGGTCATAGGTCATGTCTTCATTCATTAGTCGGTCCGGAACCGTTCTGACTGAAACGGTCAGAACCTCATGTTGTTCCATGTTTTGGTCAGAGGGGGCGCTGTTTGTCTCATTCAGCTACTAAAATCTGTCCAGTCACATTGCAGCTGGAATCCCAGGGGAAGAGCCTCGCTGCTCGGTGTGCCAGGGGGCGGAGCCTAACTCCGGCAGCCAATCAGAGCCAAACAATGGCATCCTGATCTGTGGAAAGTGTGGCATTGGTGAGTCTGCTGTAGTTGTCCTGGTAGCTAGGTGAGGCTCCAGTGAGCATGTGGGCCTATAGCGGGCAGCAGCCTTATGACATCAGCTGCTCTGTTTCAGGCTTCCACCAGCTGTGCCACGTTCCTCCAGTAGAGGGCAGCGCCACCGACCTCAGCCCCTGGTTTTGCAGGCGCTGTGTCTTCGCTCTGGCTGTCCGGGTACCAGCTGTCCTCTGTCCACTATGGCACTGACTCTCACCCCTCTCTCTAATCCCACCCTCTCCCTCTCTCTCAGAAGGGGGGTGCCCTGAGGAAGGGTCCGATAGCCAAGGCACTGTGGGCAATGAAGCAGGTCTTGCCGTACGATCTGGCGGCGCTGAACTGGGACTCTCAGCATCGGACCAATCAGCAGCATTGTTACTGCTACTGCGGCGGGCCTGGAGAGTAAGGCGACCAATCAGAGAGCTCTCTGCAGGTGCTGGCTGTTACCTGGATACTGATGATGCTATGTCTGCAGGTGGTACCTGAAGATGCTGCAGTGCTTCAGATGTCAGCAGTGGTTCCATGAGGCCTGCACCCAGAGCCTGCAGGACGCCATGATGTTCGGGGACAGGTGGGTCCTGGTGTGGCCCTGAGGGCAACTGGATGGGGCTGCTCATTTTCTCACAGCCAGGCAACCTCTAACCACCTACAGCTTTTGACCCTTGTTCTGCTGGGGGACTTCAACGCTCATGTGGGCAATGACAGTGAGACCTGGGGGGGCGTGGGTGGGAGGAACGGTCCCCCGATCTGAACTCGAGTGGTGTTCTGTTGTTGGACTTCTGTGCTCGTCACGGATGGTCCATCACTAACACCATGTTCAGGCATAAGGGTGTCCATATGTGCACTTGGCACCAGGACACCCTAGGCCGCCGCGGTTCGATGATCGATTTTGTCATCGTTTCATCGGATCTGCGGCCGTATGTCTTGGACACTCGGGTGAAGAGAGGTGCGGAGCTGTCCGCTGACCACTACCTGATGGTAAGTTGGCTCCGGTGGTGGGGGAGGAAGCCGGTCAGACCTGGCAGGCCCAAAGGGGGTGGATGAAATTCACCTGTAGTTCCTTAAGGAACTACAACCCAACCCTTCAACAACCATGTCATGGTTGTTGAAGGGTTGGGTTGGTTAACACGACTCTGCAATTTTTTTTTTTTTTAGAACTTAAATTTTTATAATTTTTACGGAGCAATTACACAGCCACACATCAGCAGTACTTAACAACACAAGTGTTGTCAATGTGAAGGTTTCTATAGATTAAACATCTCAGCATGACATTTCATGATTTCAGCATCACCTTTGTGGACTCATCACCATACAATCTTAAAATAAGGATACACTTTGGGCGGGATGGCTAAACACCTTATGCCAAAAGCCAAACTTGCTGGACTCATTTGCATCAACAGAGCTTCTGCTGGCCCCCAGCGCAGGATAAAAGTAGCTTTTTGAAGTCTTAATGAGTAGGTTATCTTTTCCATTTGACATAAGTCCCTTACTTTTTGACCCCACAAGTCGTAGGAAGGTGGTTCCAATTCCATCCACCTGATTGTAATGCATTTCAGGGCTGCTGTAAAAAGGACCTTTAACAGATGTACTTTGGTCCGTCCTAGCAGACCAGCTGATATAACACCAAGTAATGCAACTGTAACATCCTTTGGTATAACTTCTTGAAAGATTTGGTTTATAGCCCTGATCACCTCGTCCCAAAGGTTTTGAAAAGTTTGGGGCATGACCAAAATGTGTGTATGATTGGCGACTGCTGGGCCTCAGATCCTCCAACACAAGCTTGATAATTTAAGAGCCATCTTAGCAACGACATCAGGGGTCCTGAAATCCCTGCCAATAATTTTCCATTTATATTCCCGCCACATATTTGAGTTTGTAGCTCGATGTGCCTCAGTCCAGACTCCCTCCCTTGTTCCGTCAGAAATTATTTGGGCCGTCCCTGCCTCCCATCTTTGTTTTGTCCAAGTGGGTTCGTTAAGGTTCATGACAGAAACTCCCCATATATCTTTGTTATAAATGTTTATCTCCTCCCCCTTTTTGGAAATGAATTAGGAAGTTTTTTATTGGTGTGGGATTTAGTACTCTTTCCCTGTATGCAGACAAAAAAGAAATCACTTTTCTGGGGATGAAAATTTCCACATAACTCTTCAAATGACATAAGGTTGTTCCTGTCGATCAACTGATGAAGAAATGTAAGCCCTGGTCAGCCCATTTAGAAAAAGTTAATCCACAATGGCAGTTCCTTTACTGGAATACCTAAAAATGGCAATACCTTTAATGGTACTGAGCACTTTGCTTGCTCGA